TTTGAGCCTAATTACTACCTTTTTTGGCTCAATATCAGACCGGTTCAGGTCATTATCAAGCCGATTCAACTCATTTGGGTACAGAAAATACTCCAATAAGGTATACGAGTATAAACTATTCCCTCCTTTTTGTTGAGAAGTTTCTGGAGAATATTTTTCAAAAAAAAAATAAAAAAATATTCTTAAGGATAACTTAACATAACTCCCAGGAGTGTATGAGTATAAACTAGACCTCCCCGCTCCAACTCCTTAAGAGCTTAAACTGTGTAGACTCCAAAAGACTTACGAGTATAAACTGTGTTAAACGCCGGACAACGCGTTACAATGAAGATTCTAAGCCGTCAACCGATGGTCAATTCCGTGTTGAAGCAACCAACTCGAGCTAAAAAAGCCAAGAAATCAAGAATCGACTTCAAATTCAAAATTTCGACAACGGTCAGACAATAAATGCAGCACCAAAACCCTCTCAAGCATTCGACAAAGCACCGAATAGCCTGGAGGATTGAAGGAATCGAGAACAGAAGCCATTCCAAGGTCCCGCCACACCGATTGAAGGTTGGGACAGTCATATCCAAAGTATTCCAGACTCTTCTATAAAAGAACGAGACTGGAAAACTTTGGAGGGGGTATCTGTAGGCATATAAAATTGCTTATAGGTCCCTTAACACGGCTCAAGACGTATCTAAGCACGATCGTTAGCCCGTCAACACCGAAACCAAACAATGTGCGACGGAGCGGATTAACGAGGCTACGAAGCTGACAAACCGCACGTGAATGACGGAATGAATCCACTCGCGTGCGGAATCGAACCAACGGTTCAAGGAGTCAACGATTCATCCGACCATATAACGGATTCGAACTCAAACTCAAAAGCCGGTTTACTGCCTAATCGGGATCCAAACTTCCAAATCAGGATTCAGAACAAATCGGGGTTCAGATCAATGCCACGAGCGGACTCGGACGAATCACGATCGAATCAAGATCAGTTTCGGACTCGAACTCAGAAGCCGATTTACCGCCAAATCAGGAATCCGATTTATTGCCAAATCAGGGATCAGGTCAACGAATCGAATCCGAATCAAGTCCAGATCAACAACGAGGCAAACAACCGAACAACGGACGCGAAACCAACCCCGAGGGGGGCTCGGCCAAAGCCGAGCCACCCATGGGTGGCTCGGCCCAGTGTCGGCCACCTATGGGTGGCCGACATGTTTCTGTGCACGGGCACAGTGAAGAGGGCCTATAAATACCCCCCTAGGCTCATTCATTTGAAAGGTTAGAACTTTAAGAGCCGTTACTCTGCCGGATTGAGAACTGAGCTCGGAGCTTTGAGACTTGAAGACTTGGAGACTTGAAGATTCAGATCTGATTCTTGGCGAGCGTCCACGTCACAAAAGGCAGGAGTTCGAGAGAGGTAAAAATCAGATCTGAGATCTACACGAGATCACACTCCGGATCAAAGCTTGGCCTTTGATCCCGAGATTTGGACGATTGTTTCCTTGGCGAAACAATCCTCCCCGGCTATTATTTCCTTGGCGAAATAATACCCGTAAACTCGTGTAGATCCGACCAGATCTAGATCACGCGGTGGTCCACGGATAAACCCCAGCGTCGGTAAAGAACCCACTCAAGTGAGCGACCACAAAACAGGAGTTCACGATTTGTTCTAAAGGAGAAAGTTGTAATTTTTATTTCTTTTTGATTTTCATTATAACCGGATCTAAGAAAGACCGGATCTTTGTGTAATCGATAAACAGTTTCCAAAGAGCACAATGAATTCAATGAAGAACACGATTTTCACCGCGAACAGTCAGCTTTCCAACGCATCTTGAATCACCTCATTCCGAGATCGAACGAGAGAGTTAGAGCCAAAACATCCGAGGTAGTACGAACTGGCTCGCATGGCTGCGAGCCACCTGGCCGAGCCACCCAAATCTGGGCCCAGATCTGAGCCCAGATCTGGTTTGAAGAGCCTATAAATAGACCCCTAGGCTCATTGTTTGAAGGGCTTGGAATTTTGGAGCCGAAACTCTGCCGGATTGAGAGCTAAACCTTGGAGTTTTGAAGCTTGGAAGACTTGGACTTTTCAGATCTGGTTCTTGGTGATCATCCACGTCAAGCAAGGCAGGAGTTCGAGAGAGAGAGATCAGATCTGAGATCCACACGGTTATCCTCCGGATCAAAACTTGGTTTTTGATCCCGAGAAGATTATCGATTTCGCTTGGTCGATTTTGATTACTAAAGGCTATTATTTCCTTGGTGAAATAGTACACCCGGCTGTTACCACGGATTAACCCTGGCGTAGGCAAAGAACCCACACAAGCAAGAGACCGCAAAACAGGATCTTGTGATTTGTTCGAGAAAAGGAAAGTTGTAATTTGTCTTTTTTCTTTCTTTGATTTTGTTGTAACCGGATCTTATAAAAAGACCGGATCTTTTGTAACCGATAAACAGTTGCTTAAGGAAACAATGACTTCAATGAAAACGACTTTCACCGCGAACACCGCTCACTATGTTATTCAAGGAAAAGAGTATAATATGGATTATTATTTAGCTAATGGTATATATCCAAAATGGGCTACTATTGTACAAACAATCCAACAGCCACAAGGTAGGAAGAAAAAATATTTTGCCATGAAACAGGAAGCATGTAGAAAAGATGTAGAACGTGCGTTCGGAGTTCTCCAGTCACGATTTGCAATTGTAGCAGGATCAGCACGTTTTTGGAAAAAAACATGTATTACATGACATAATGACTGCATGCATTATTATGCACAATATGATAATCGAGGTTGAACGTGACCTTTATGCACCAATTCAAGAAGTGAGGGAAGCACCAACACCAGAAGTTGATATCGTAGCAGATGAAACTACAAGATTTACTCAATTTATTGTACAGACAAATGAAGGATAAAGATGCCCATATTGCGCTTCGTAATGCATTGATAGATCATTTATGGGAGGGATACATTATTTCAGATAGTTAAGTGCATATTAAATTTGTAATTTTTACATTGTTGTTAATGTTTAATTATTTTCTTGTATTTTATCTTCTGTTGTATTCTTAAATGTAATATTTTGGCAATATTAATAATAAAAATATAATATTTTAGCAATCAAGTTATTTTAATTAATAAAATAATATTTTATTGTTTTATTAGTTTAATTTTTTAAATAATAAATCATTTTGTTTGAAAAATATGTGAAAAAAATAAAATTTGATATGTGGGGTTAATTGTTGAAATAGTTAAAAATATAGAGAATAAAAAATAATAATATAAAAGTAGATAAAAAAGAATATACTGAGAATATTCTTTTTTGGTGCAAAAAATAGTACAATGGGTTGGAGATGAATTACTGTTAGATGTGACTTTTGCACCATTTTGGTGAAAAATTTGCACCATTTTGGTGCGATGGGTTGGAGATGCCCTTAGGGATAGAGGCATGATGCGTCTGTCATACATTAAATGTGAGGCTGACACGTTGTTAGCGAGGATAAGCTCAAGGGATCAGTTATCTTTTAGCTTCGCCGAAAAGTAACGCCTTTCGAGTCATCTTCGCAAAGCATCTATGGCAAATAGTCTAGTGGACTCGTGATGAGTAGTTTTTGAGGAAGGGGAGCGACTAGTACCGCGTTTCGAGTCGACATGGAAGGATGTTGTCTCGATAAGTCAACTAAGTTGTCGTCCCTATCGATTTCAGGCCACCAAGTTGATTAGGGCATAATACGCAAAAACTCGTGTGTTTATATACCATTGTGAGTTTTTTGTGGTGTTTTTCTAAAGAAACACCATGTCATTGTGTTTTCTTCCAAAGTGTTTTGAAAACACAAATTTGAGTTTCTTGATCAATACTAGTTCGACCATTTCCATACATAATATAATATCATATATGAAATATAACATATATGTTATAATATATTTTATATTAACTAATTTACTATATACTATTATTTAAATTATATATTATAATATAGACTAATATAAGATATGTATATTAATTAATATAATTATTTATTAGATTATATTATGTTTATTATATTATTTTAAGAGCATAATATATTTTTGTATATTATATATATAATATATATTATATTATGTTACATCAATATACGTCATACTTTAGTTTAATATTATAATATAATATAATAAATTGATTTTATTATACTTTAACACTTTTATTATATTATATAAATTTAATATAAAATATACTAATATAATATGTTATATTGAATAAAATATCAAATTATTTACTATGACATTTATCTTTAATATAATAGTAATTTTATTATATTATATTAATTTAATATAATATATAGCAATCTAATATATATATATATTTTATTTTTCTTTATAATTTTTATATTTTATTTTATTTTTCATCAATATAATGAAACATATTAATGGAATATATTAAATTAATATATTAAACATATTTTTTAATATTATAAAAATAAAATATTATTTATATTAAATATATTATATTTCATTTAATATAATTTAGTATACTATATTATTATTTATATAATATAATAATATAAAATATATTGAGCATTATATTATTAACAAATTATTATTTATAATATTATAGATTATATTTAGCTATTATATTTATATCCTACCCAAACTCAAAACACCATGCAAAACTCAAAAGACCTAAAAGGTGTTTTCAAATAATAAGTGTGGTGTTTATTGTTTTTGGGTGTTTTTTATCATAAAAACACCATGGTTCCCAAACACATTGTGTTTTTATTTTGATAAAAACACCATGGAAATGGAGGAATCACTATGGCTCCCAAACACACCCCTAATAATCAATAGTTCAAGATTTGTATTCTTCATGGAGGAAGGGGCTTAATATGTGTGAAGATTAGGTGCTTATTCCATTGAGATAAAGCAAAAAATAAAAATAAAAAATAAAAAAAGTATTTCCCCACTGATTGTGTGTTTTTTAATTGATGAACATTTTAACAAAATAAAGAAAATGAACTAGCATAGAAATTAATCAAGAAAGGAAGCCACAGCTTTTGACTCACCAAGCCCTACAGAGATGAGAAAGCTAAAGCACGTAGAAAAGGGAGGAAAGTGAATAAAGAAAACTGAGATTCCATCTCAAAATGAGTAAAATACCAAAGTTTTACCTGGTACTAGCAGGGTAACTGCAGCCAGGGCCACCTACAAACACGACAGGGAAAAAAACTATTAAGTTAAAAAAAAAGCACATTTCTTATGCTCTTTCCAAACTTTTTTTTTCCTTCAAAATTAACATTTTAAGGTAAATTTCAGAAAGCCCCCGACCTTTGGAGTGACTGGTAAAACTCCCTGAAATTTAAAAATGAGAAGAAAAAACCCCTAAACTTTGGAGAGTTTCCCAAGCTAAAAATAAGAAAACTTCACTCACAAGTAAAATTTTCCCATTTTACTCCACCCTCTCTTTAACAATAAACTCTAGAATGCTATCTGCCTAAAATTTGGATGAAACTTTTCTAAAATTTGCAAAACTACCCACAATGTAGATGTTTTCACTAACTTTTAAGGTTCAAAGAAGGTTATGTGAAAATCACTTCAAAAGTTTCAGGGTGTTTTGTGAAATAAACTCTAGTTCTACTTACTTGGGTCCGAATTAGTGAGAGTAGCAGTCCCAGAAAAATCACAGGCTTGTTGAGATTGGCCTTTCCTTTGATAATAGCTATTAGCAGCATAAGAACAATGAGCTCTAACAGAGTTTGGGTTGAAGCAAGCTCCTCCTTGTTGGATTTTTGAGCAATCAGCTCCAGCTCCACAAGCATAATCTATTGTTTTCTGCAGTGTTGTGTCACTCACATCTGACCTACATACACACCAAGCTCCATCTTCCCAAAAAAATTATATATATTTCAGAAATTTATCAAAACGGGGTTATTTGCACTTAAATACCCTAAAGTACTTAGCCATATTTTACCTTTGATACACTAAGAGTT